ATCCAGATCTGAATGCAGAATCAAGCTGAGAGTGTTTCAGCTGTTACTTCATTTTTAACAAGTAGTCCTGATGTTCACATCTTGAAATGTTCCTGTTACTGTTGGAGAACTGAGACAGCTGCATCTGAGTAAAATCAAACCAGGAAAGACCGATCACAGCTGCAACAGACAGTCGGTTCATCAATCAGGCGGTGAGCAAGCAAATTTATCTGCAATTATTGTGAACTGATCACTTTGAAGTTATTTTTTTTAAATGAATTCCCAGACGTGAATGTCGTCTTTTCCAGCAGTGAATAGAAGGTCTCCTGGTGTTCGGACTGTTGAGTGCACACAACGAGACATCCAAAGATATTATGTACATGTAACACCTTGTGAATCATAGAAATAATCTCTCTCTGAAGGTCGACAGCCGAATCATCCCGTCAACACCACAAACAGCCAGCGGAGCGAAGGCCAAAGGTCAGAGGCGACGCTTAACAAACTCATTCTGACAGCAGACGCCCGACTGTTTGTTTCATTCGGCTGCTTCTTGTTCCTGAAACTCTCCATTATGTAACGTTACATCCGCTCTGCCTCCCGCCAGACTTTTCCAGAGAGGACAGACTTCCTGTCCCTGAAGCTCAGAGTCTCTGACTGAGCAGCTGAACCACCACGACATGAGAACAGCAACCCAACGCCTGATTTGATCCAAGCTCGAGGTCAGAAAAATAACTCTCTGCTTTGTCTAGGAAATACGACAGAAAATACTTGAAATCCTGACATGACACTTTCAAACTATGTAGTGGCATGCAAAAGTTTGGGCCCCCCTGGTCCAACAAATATTTGTTGCTATGGAGGTTGTCAGGGTAACTCAGTCCCTCGTCTTCGCTCGCCATGATGAAAACAAACCAATTTGGGATTCACAGATGGTCAAAAATACAGGAAATGTTTCTAAAGTAACCACAAGCTGACATCAAATATCTAGTGTAGAACAGGCTGATAGACAACAGTTTAACAGCCTGTTGTTTGTTTTTACTGAGATTATTTTTAGGTCAAATTTCTGATCGAGAAATGACGATTTTTTTCCCAGGCCACGATGAAGACGACACACTCCTTTCAACATTTTAATCAAGATAGGTGTGGGGGGTATTTTTGTTTCGTACAAATTAGAGGGAACAAAAGGACGATTTCTCAGACTCTGGAGATGCTGGTGCTTTGTTCTACTGAGACACCTGCACTGATGTTACATCATCAAGAGTCAGCAGAAGAAAAGCTTTCCAGCATCCTCCACGTAAAAGTTGAACATCTGAATAAGCCTGATGCCTTTTATACGTCTTTTTTAAAGCAACACTTGACTGAGTGCTACAAAGTGGACACAAAGCAGCTTGGAGGCTGAATGATGCCACCCGCCGTAGTGGAGTTACATCATGACGGCCTTGAACCTGAACAGTCTGCCTTCACTACCAGCCTCCCTCTGTCTCCTCAGTGTTTGTTTGACATTTTTCTTGTAGTTACACTTTCAAATTTATCTTTTTAATGATGTATAATAAAAACACTTCATCTTTTCTGCACAATGACCTTTCTCATAATTTCTGCTGCGACACTATTCTCTTGTTTTACCTGCAGTCTGATTAAAACCAAACAGCAGAGAAAAAAATTGAAATTAATACGAAATAGTTCCAGACTTCAAGCTAATATTCACGGTAATGACGTTTTCCACGTGTTTCTTTTTAGTTGGTTTGCTTTTCTTTGTGTTCATTTTGTGTCTCTGTGGTCATTTTGTGGGTCTTTGTGGTCTTTCTGCATCCATTTGTGGCTGTTTTTAGTCTGACTTTAGTAATTTCATGCCTCTTTGTTATCATTTTGCATCTCTGTGGCCTTTCTGTGTCTCTTTGTTGTCATTTTGTGTCTATTTGTGGTCAATTTGAGTCTCTTTGTGGTATTTTGGTGTGTCCATTTTGTGTCTCTGACTTTGGGCTGTGACCGGTCAGTAATCCTTTCCTGCTTAAATCAGCTAAAGCAGCACACTGCTCCATTAAAGGCTCACTTGCAGCCTTTAAACTGTGAAGCTGTTTCAGGCCTGTCCTCTGATTCCGAACCATCCTCACGAGGACACTGAGATGTGGACAGCAGAGGAGCTGCTGCCAGCCACACCCTTCATCTCAGGCTGCAGCCTCCATCACAGTCTCCCTCCTCCATCAGTGAGCAGCATTAACAACGCTTCAGATCACCAGGAAAACCATCTGCACCGAACCCTGAGGGGCTGAAACCCAACAACCGCCCGACTGTCTCTGATCACTTCAGTCAGTGTCCAGTTTCACTCTCGATATAATCAACGCTCTGCATTCAACAAAACTAAGACGAGAAACGCTGTATTTAGAAGGCATCGTATTTAAATTTCTTAGAAACTTTCCTCATGTTTTCCTAAAAATTAGCTACAAAATTCAAGATATTTCCAGAAAACTCCAGCAAAGTCATTTCATTTCTGGAAATGTAAAACAAACCTCCAAATGCAGCTGATACTGTAAAAAAAAATGACCATCAGTGTAAACAAATCTTAGTCAAACTGCATTACTGACTCCACAATTCACAATTATTTTAATTAACAATGAATCAAATAATTGTGAGGCTTTATAAATGTCTTCATCTTCAAACAAATTCATTTAAATAAGACAAAGAAAAGCAGCCAATCCACTTAGTGAGAAACACAGAAATGGCTGCAACAATAAACTGATCATCAGAAATCATGCTGAATATTATTCCATTTATCGATCTATCGAGTAATTGACTCAAGCTCTACAACCAGCACACTTTCTGTACAACACACTTTAATGTTAAAAAATATTAAAGAAATAAAAGTGGGGGTTGACCGACTATCAGCCTGGGTGATTATTGGATCCAATATTTAGACGCTTTTATGACATTGTTATATTTTTAAACTAATTCCTGATCGCACAAGTTAATCTAAAAATGTGCCACTTTGGCTGTGATGCAGTCGCCTCTGTCTACCTGGAGTCACTCTGTGGTCTCCAGGAGCGACCTTCAGCATTAGATGAGCATCAGCCAATCAGCACTGAAAGATCAATGTGTTGAAAGGTTCCCCTTAAATTAAACACTTAAAACATAATCAACATTTCATGGCATTTGTGTTATTTTGATAAAGATTTCATTTTTATTCAAGTGTATAACAGCTCCATGTATCAGTCATTGATCTCCTTGATTACTAATAATCTGTGTCAGTATCAGCTGTGAACAACCCATGTCACATGATTCCTCCTTTAAAGTAGATTGAAAACAACAGAACTGTAACACTAATGATTATATGCAGCCAGTAATCACATTTTAAAGATATTTCTCCTTTCAGTTTGTGCATATGAAACTGCAAGTTAATAAAAATCTGTCACAGATCTTCTAGGAACCCGTCCACCCGCTTCCTCCACATTTACATTCATTCAAATTTTACAAACTACTTCTGCAGTTAATGAAATTTTGTGAGAAACAGAGGAGCTGGGACGTCCTGCTTGTCTGCTCCTTATTGGTCCAGGAGCTATTTACAGGGAAATCTGCCTGATTGTTAGTTTTAGAGCCTCTTTTCTTTAACACTTGAACGCACCACAGCGCAGCAGAAACCTACAGCCCTGCAGCCTTGACATTCACCTTCTACAACACCTGCAATAAACCAACACTGAGCCTGATACAGTCTTTTTCTGTCCACCACTTCATAAAGACAGAACTGATTATGAATTGAGGAACAAATCATCATGTATTGGGTTTAAAACATCCGCTATAATCTCTTCAATCCAACAAAGCAGCAATGAAAACAGAAGCAGAGCGTCTCGTCACACATTCATATGATTCTGTGATGCTTCCAGCAGAGAGCACATCTGATAAAAGCAGCCTGATGCTCTATTTACTGTGGAACATGTAGAATTTTCCATTATTAATTTTCCATTTATTTATTTTTAAGAGACACTGTTGATTAGTACATTCAAATAAATGCAAATGTACCTACGTGAGACACATTTTCATCACCTCTATCTTGTGTTGTTTGGTATCTAACATTCATAATTATAGCACAGTGTGGGCAGTAAAATCAAATATAGATTAAATTAAATCAAGCATGTTTCATAAAATCCAGTTAAATACAGTATAAAAAGGAGCATATATCGTAGTGTAATCTTGTTGAGGGTAGAAGGTGTGACAATAAACAGGTAAATTGTTAACAAAAACAGAGGATAAAAGGTGCCACAAGACCAGCAGAATACATGAATATTTACCAGCACTGAATAATGCATAATGAACCAGTGAACCCAGTGAAACCAGCACAGACTGGGCCAGACTGCAGGAGAAATGATCAGGCAGCCAGAGAAAGAACGGCCTGATACCGGATTCAATAAATGAAGACGAATCAGGAGCTCAATGTGACTTTGAGCAGTAAAATGTCAAACATGCACACGGCTGGATGAGACAAAAGACACATCTGATGGGCTGATCAGCAGGATGAGACTAAGAATCAGGTTTTTATCTTCATTTCTCCTGGTTTCCATTTGGAATATTTGACCTGATTCTAGGTGCTGCTGCTGCTTTTCTGACGACATCTATGATTCATCAGCTCCTCCATCCTCCATCCCTCTGCCTGCATGAAGGAGAAAATGCAGGGCGCACCCCCACCCTCATCTCTAAAATAAATAAATAAGTCCACAAAACCCGCATGAATGACGGCTGAGATTAAAAATATAAACGCAGCTCTGAGAAACCAACAAAAAGGTTTAAAATTCAGACCTGAAATCTGCACCGCAGCTCTGAAAAATGCGGACACATCAGCCTCCTCCCGTCTGATCTGCGCCAGTCAACGAGCCTCTGCTCGGCTTTTATCCGCAGCGTTAAGCGACAGATCCGGGCCGAACCGAACCGAGCCGGGCTGAGGGGGACCAAGGAGGGTCGGTACGGATGGACAACCGGGACAACGGCGGACTAAAGGTGAGATGGAGGCGAGAAAAGAAGGAGCGGTCGGTGCTTACCTCATGACTCCGAGCAGAGCTGAAGATCACTGAGAGGGAGGAGAGGGGTGAGGAGGGAGGAGGAGGAGGAGGAGAGGGGAGCCTCACAGGCAGGGAGGGAGGAGGGTACCGGATCCTCAAAGTCCTTTATGTGGGGGAGACCGGGGGCAAATTAACATTTACATTTCCCTTCATAACTCACAGACTACTGGGAATTCTCCAGCCATCGTTTGCTCAATATATATGTGTGCACTAATTAATATCACAATTAATGTATTTCCACAAATAAGGACAAGACTATAATAATACATTTAATGCAAAAAAAAAAAAAAACGTCTCAATTTACCACAAAAAAATAAATGTATCTAATAAAAGAGCTCAATGTGAAGACATGAAGTATTCAATAATGTTAGTCAAGGTTATTTGATTAAACTGTATATCTCAAATAGAACCATCCTATGAATTCACAGCAAAAACTCTATTTCTGTTTTTACAAAATAGTAACACATTTTGATTGCTTTTAATTAATGTGAGATCTTTCTATATTCTATTAATTATGGCTTTAACTTGTCTGTACTTGTATTCAGAATAATATTTTAGAATACTATTTTTTCTGTTTTTTTATTGTTTTGTTTTTCACTTTTCACAGGGTATGTGTACAAATAAACCTGGATTTGGCTTTAATTGTTTAAACCGAGTTTAAGTTATATTTTACTCAAATACATTCATTAGCTGATGAGGTCTTTAACCAAACTAGTGAAATGGTACTAGATAGATATGTAATGTTAGTTGAACACACATTATTTTATACATAAAAAGGCTGAATGACAAGTTTCTAGAGCAAGCACGTTTATTTTGTCACGTCTTTTTAAAAGTCATTTTACGTTTAAATTTAGTTAAATCGCCAACAGACAACATGCTAACATCGGCTAGCTAGCTAGCAGCACCTAGCCTCAATTAGCATTGATTTATAACCAGTAACCTGGAGATAAAATTATGCAAAAGAAAACTCGAAATTTTTAAACTTTAGATAAGAATATACACTCCATCTAGAAAGTGACTTTCATACCTTAAAAGCTGTTTGGTTGTTGAAACCTGATGAGAAACTACACACAGGAAGGACCCTACTGAGCATGCGCAGTTGCTGCCATCAAAGAGCTCAGTGTGTTATTACCCTTCCGGCTCCTGCAACTAAAGATGAAATAACATAAAATAAAATGAATCAATCCAAGTAGACACAGTGAAAACAAATGTTACGCAGGGAAAATAAGTCAGTTTCAACTGGTTCATTTTAGTATTTCAGCCCATAAACAATGACAGCCTTTACTGCCCCTCTCCCTCTGATTAAAAACTACAACAACAACAAACCTTACGAGCATCTTGTTTATCTGTCTACCCATAGATGGAGATTCACTGAGGCTGCCCAGTACCCTCAAACACAAGCATGAACCAATACGCAAAATACAAAAAATAACTCATATGTACATGTTGGAAAGGAACAAATTTAGCCTTTAGTCAGTAAACTAATTAATACATGCTAGATTATTAAATATTATCAAATCAATGAACAGCAGCAATTAAACATTTCCAAGAACCGGTAGTAATCACTGCGAAATCGCTGTTATCAGGTGCTCCTCAGGAACACATTAATTATAATTTAAAACAAAAATCCAAACTAATTTTACAGAACTTGAGGCATTTTTCTTCCTGCAGCTGCTTCCCATTGGTGGAAAATAGCTAAAAAGACACAAAGACACACAAACAAGCGACCACAAAGAGGCACAAAAATTACCACAAAAACACATAATGACCACAAAGAAGCCCAGAAAAGAAGAGAAGAAATTAAGTGAGCACAGACAAAAAAAAACAACAAAACACAACACATGTGTGGATCAGAGCATTGTTTTGTGACAAGCACTCAGATTTATCTGCTGTCCTTGTGTAAGAACTGGATATTGAGTGTTTCAAACGAGCTCCACCTGCAGCAGCTACAACAGTGACATGCTGCTAACACACTGATGATCCAGTAATAATAAACTAATATTGTCATATACAATAATATATCAATTAGACAACCAAACCAGCACTTTAACATCCTCAGTACATCCTGTAACTACATGTACCTTGTTGCAGGGAGGGCTGTAAGCAGTGTTGCAACAATTGGTGTCAGAAGTGGGATTAATAAACCTGCGTAGAGGTCGGTTAACAAGGAAAAAGCCCTTGGCAAACATGGAGGATGAAAATGCTGAAGGAGCAGCGGCTGCTGAAGGTGAGCAACAACCAGCGGTACGGCCGAGAGTCTTTACAGTCAGAGCTGAAAGTCAAGACCTTTATGAACCAGATATTTTTGAAGAAATTAAAATGTTTATGCATCAGTCTAAACAGACAGAAGAAATATTTTCTTAACAGATTAAACAGCTAAGATGTAACGTGATAGCACCAATGATGAAGGACTGATGAACATTATTCCGTCCAACGGAGGCATGTGTTTAAATCCCACTTCTGACACCAGGTGTTGCAAGAAGGGTGTGCTTGAAAATCGGAAACTGTTTATTTGCCTTTTTTAAACAAAGAGCACATGTCCAAAAGGAAGAAAAAGAAATTAAAAAAAAAAAAATAGCAAGGGAATTAAAACTTAGAAGAAAAACCTTCGCGACTCACATTCAACAGTTAAGAAAGCTGCATTTCTTGCCTTCTGAACAAAACACTTCCTGCTTCTCTCATATAGGGCGGGGCTTGCCTTCCAGTTAAAACTGGCCAATCAGGACACATCTGTAATCCAATCATATTTGAGATCACACCTACTCAGGGAACCTATTAAAGAGCTGCGTTGGAGGCCTGCCCCTTCCTGAACCTCCAGGAGAAGATGGCCTCCTTAAGGAAAAAACTCAGGTGGATTTAGTGTCTTTTTTAACAGACTGCTCGCTTTAATCAGTAAATTTAACTATAAAAAGTAAAGCTTTCTTTGTAGCCACTGAACTAAATAAGAAAAAAGCTATAAAAATAGTCGTTCATGACCAAGTCTCTACACTAAAGGTCTACATGTGGTCCAGCAGGGAGCTCGTGCCTCCCAACATACCTTCACTGAAGAAGACTTTTACTCATAATGGCTTATATTTATTTTCTGTGACACTTTTATTTTAGTACAGTGACTATATTCCTGGAAAACAATGGAAAATACAGAAACAAAACCAGATTTCCAGTCTGACCTGGTGTTTCCTGTGCAGAGCTCCGTCTTTTCCACCAGAGGGAGACAAATGATTGTTTGATTTCACCATTCAACTTTTCATCCACTCATTAGAAACATGCAGCACATGAAGCACTGATGAGTCAGTTATCGATCGCTTACAAACTGTGACGCTTCAACGGTAATTTGCACAACATCAGCTGAGAACAAAGCACAAAACACAGAAATCCAATCCTGAGCCCTCACGTATGAGCGCAGATATACAAAGACACATAAACGACACAAATCGATGACAAAGTCAGACAATACAACCACCATAAAGCCACAAAATGACCACAAAAAGACAAAATGAGGCACAAAGTGACCATCAAGGAAACAGAAACGGCCACAAAGAGACACAAAATCGTAAAAAAAATACACACAAAATGATCACAGAGACATAAAATGACCACAAATAGCACAAATTGGCCGCACACAACCGCAAGGAGAAGTGGCACGAAACAACTACAAAGACACACAGACTCTCAAATCAAACACAAAGATACGAAAAATGATCACAAACAGAAAAAAAGACGACAACAAATAGACACAAAACTCCCAGAACAACATTTAAAAGACACACATGCACACAACAATCATAAACGCCCACAAAGGCACCCACTGATCACCAAATCAGACAGTACAACCACCATAAAGGCACAAAATGACCACAAAATGACCACAGGCACCAAGTGGCCATCACAGAAACAGAAACAACCATGAGGAGACACAAAATCATAAAAAAATACACACAAAATGATCACAGAGACACAAAACAACCACAAATAACACAAACTAGCCACACAAAACTGTAAGAAAAAGTGGCACAAAACAACTACAAAGACACACAGACTCTCAAATCAAACATAAAGATACGAAAAATGATCACAAACAGAAAAAAAGACGACAACAAATAGACACAAAACCACAAAGAGACACAAAATGGACACAAAAAGACACAAATCAAATCAAAGACACACAAAATTACCACAGAGACATGAACGAAAACCACAAATACACTAAATGACCACAAATAGACACAAAACCCCCAAAACAACGTTAAAAAGATCCACATGCACACAACAATCACAAATGCCCACAAGACACAAAACGACACCAACCGATCACAAAGTCAGACAATACAACCACCATAAAGCCACAAAATGACCACAAAAAGACAAAATGACAAGAGCCACAAAGTGACCATCAAGGAAACAGAAACAGCCACAAAGAGACACAAAATTTAAAAAAATACACACAAAATGATCACAGAGACACAAAACGACCATAAATAAAACACAACCACAACGAGAAGTGGCACGAAACAACTACAAAGACACACAGACACTCAAATCAAACACAAAGACACACAAATTGATCATAAACAGAAAAAAACACAACAACAAATAGACACCAAATGACACACAAAACAACCAAGAATACACTCAAACCATAAAGAGACACAAAAGCAAATGTTTTACGGTTTCATTTATTTCATTGTAGCAGCACAGTTACTCTTTTCCTGTACACTTAAATAAATAAGTGGAAACCTTTTTCTGAGTCATGCGATCAATAATCAATCAATCAGTCCACAGGTTACGTCTGAAGACGTCGACAACCATCATCACTACAGTCTAATATAAGCTGATCTGATCCATATGAGGTGTCATCTTATATTTTCCACTCTTCTGTTATTTCTGCTGATGACGTGTCTGAGTGACGCTGATGGAGGGAACATGTATTTTTATTTTGGAGGGGGAGGATGCTGAAAATAAGACTTCCGGTTTGCAGCAGCCTACAGCTTTCAAAACAAAGGTACACACAGTATTTGTGTGTTATTTTAATATTTCTCATATGACTTTTTTTTCATTTCAGCAGAACATTCATAACATCACGTGACACAATAACAATTTACATACATGAGTGCAAAAGATGGACTCTCACAAGGGTAAATTTAATAATTCTTATTTCAAAATGTTACTTCATGTGTATTATTTATCTGTAAAGACACGAGCTTTGTGCAGCTGAGTGAATTTTATGCTAAAAAAAATACTGTTTTAGACGAATTTCAGTTTAATTAGATGAAAGAGATTAGGCTTTTATTATGAAAAATCGAGGAAAATGGAACTTGAGCGGGCTTGCTGTTTCTTGTTTTTTTTTTTGTAGAGGAGCAGAGGAAGGAGGTGATGGAGGGAGGAGGAGGAGGAGGAGGAAGAAGAGGAGGGCTGATGTGAGCTGATCAGCGGCAGGTCTGATGATGATTATGATGATGATGATGATGATGGTGATGATGATGATGGTGATGATGGTGTGAGTCAGACAGCGGAGGGTTCAGGATGCTCACAGCCGCTCCGGAGTAGACAAACCCCGCAGACGCACACGCACGCAGCCCGGGAGGATCCGCGGAGACACGGTGAGTCCGCAGACATCACACCCACACCGGCCGCAGCGCCGACACTCACACCGACAGACACGCACTGAGGGCCGGGGGGGAGGAGAGGACAGCAGTCCGGGGACGGAGCTCCACGATCGGTGGGATTTTGCAGTCCTGTCCCGGTGCTGCTGTGGTTCTATTTCCAACATTGCGTGTGCGTGTGCGTGTAATGGGAATGGGTGCGCGTGGCCGGCTGTGCGCGTGCCCGTGCCGTCCTTACTCTTGAGTGCAGTCAGACTGATTAACATGATGTGAGGAGATAATGAGACTGTGGAGCTGCAGCTGGTGGAAACCGAGAACAAAGCATCAGGTCAGAGTGTGTGTGTGTGTGTGTCTGTGTGTCTGTGTGTGTGTGTGTGTCGTGACCACAGTAGTCTGTCAAAGCACTGAAATACCATCATCAGCAAAGAGTTGCAGTAGGAGTACAGGATTAATAAGACTGTTATGTAACTAGAAATTATAGTCATCTTATCAGTTATTATTATTCTATATATCATATAGATCTTACAGACAGATGTGGGGAACACATGCAGATGTTTTGCATCAGTAAAAGGAGATTACAGTTAAAACAAATCATAAAATGCATTAGTTACAGCAAAGCAAACAGTCAACAAGTAACAAAAAGTAAAAAGTAGTCGGTGTTGTGAAACAAAATGTCACTTTTTCAGTGATTCATTACTCAGATAATAAAAAGTACTAACATCACTCAGTAAAAATACTCGATTACAAGTAAAAAAGAATGAGTTGTAATGCCGTACTTAAAGTATCAAACGTAAAAGTACAGGAAAGTGTCTCGTGTTAGACGTTGGTAGTGGAGGAAATATTCAAGCTCTTAAGGAAAAATACAAATACCTCATATTACAAATACTTACAAGTAGAAGTGTGTAAGAGAGTAAAATAGAGTAAAATGTGTAGTAATAATGAAAACGTAAGTAGCTCAAGTACATGTCCCATTTGGTATTGATCTATGATTCATTTGTGGTGGAAATACTAAATTCTACTCCCATGTTGTAAAAGTACTCTATTACAAGTAAAAATCCTGCATGATGGAGGTCAAAGCACCTAAATATAACCAGGAAAATGCACTTTAAACTGTTAAACGTTGAAGTCCTCCATGCAGGATAATGTCACATTTCAGGAGTTTTATTATTCAGTTCAACATTCAGGAGACATGAATCCCACTTTCAGGATCTTTGAAACACGTTCAACTCGTTGCTGCAGCACTTCAGCATCTTAAACACGAGATGTTCAGCTCAAACTGTGAGGACTGAAGTGGAGGCGTCAAACTGCAGCAGCTTCTCCGTACAGCCTCAGGGTGTGTGTGTGCGTGTCATTACTCATGTTGTGAGGACACGAGTCTGTTTCCACGCTCACATTTCGGTGAGTTGCTTCTTTTCAGGGGACAAAAATCAACGTCAGATGTCATCACATCTGAGTAGAAGACTGAGTGAATGTGCATTCATGTGATGGATGTAAATCACTGTGAAGTGATGGAAACAAGACTGTGTGTGTGTGTGTGTGTGTGTGTGTGCGAGCTGCCTGCTGTGTGTTTCAGTTCACACCTTCCTATTTTAGACAGTAGGAAAATTATATAACTAGTGTTAATTGTCTTCTTCTTTTAATAGGCTATTAACATGCTAATGTTAGCATGTTAGCCTGCTGTTGGAGCCCTCTGTAGTCTTTCAGTCTCTCGCTAAGTGTTATTTTACAGTGACTATAATAAGTATTCAACCCCATTGGGAGCTTTCTCCTTTTGTTGCTTTTTAACACGGAATTGTAATCAATTTACAAAAAAAGACTTCTGAAAAGTAATGTCAACTAACTAAAAATAAAAAATGTATATGAAGTATAAAGACGTCTGTATCTGGAAGGTCCAGTCATCATCCATCCATCCATTATCTATACACCGCTTAATCCTCACTAGGGTCGTGGGGGGGCTGGATTCTATCCCAGCTGACTTAGGGTGAAGGCAGGAGACACCTGGACGGGTCACCAGTCTATCACAGACTAGTGCATCAGTACTCCTGATATAACTACGCCATGAAGACAAAAGCAGACTCCAAACAATACAGTGAAAAGGTTACTGAAATGCATAAGTCAGGGGATGGATACAAGAAAGTTTGCAAGTCGCTAAATATCCTTTAGACTACAGTAAAAATCTGTCATTAAGAAATGAAGGGAATATGGTACATGTTTATAGCAGGGTAGTCATGAAACATGTCATGAAAATTTTATGAAATGTTCCAAAAATATTCCAGATAATTAGCCGCAGAAGATAATAAAAGGTTAAAGTAAGTACATTTTAATGTCTAAAAATGTTAATACATGCATTGTTTAACAAAAGAAAATGTAAAAAAAATCCCCAAAATGTCAAAGGATTAGTAAAATGTCAAAAAGAAAAAAGTCATGAAAATACATATATATATGTAAAATGTTCAATCAATATCACAGGTAATAAAATTATAGAAAGAGTTTATGGTCAAAATACCACTTTCAGTAATTAAATGCTGCAGTGGGGGCTGCACGGTGGAGCAGTGGTTAGCACTGTCGCCTTGCCGGTTCCCGTGCCTGGGATCTTTCTGCATGGAGTTTGTTCTCCCCATGCAGCGTGGGTTCTCTCCGGGTTCTCCAGCTTCCTCCCACACAGTCCAAAAACATGTTGAGGTTAATTGGTGATTCTAAATTGTCCGTAGGTGTGAATGTGAGTGTGCTTGGTTGTCTGTCTCTAAGTGTGGCCCTGTGATAGACTGGCGACCTGTCCAGTCTATGATCTCTTTGATCCAGAAAACAGAGCTTGTGTTTCTGAGCTCTGAGCTTAATGATCTCCGGGTATTGATCAGCTGTGTCAACAGTATCAGTTGGAGCTGATCAGCTGATCAATTCTTAGAGAACAGTCTCCACAGCTCACTGACGGTCGTAGAAAGATGCCTCTTCACTCATCTTTAGCAGAGTTCAGTCAAAGAACTCATTAACCTGCAGGGTAAAGTTTCTCTGTTAAAGCTTCAGTGTCGGACTTTTACACATAAATGAACGTCAGCTACATTAAATCCAAACAAGTTCACACAATGCTGATTCAGCTCCAGGAAAGCCTTTCTGTATTTTGCAGTATACCAAGTTTTAAATCAGATGTGGGTGGTGATATTTCAGCACTGGTAGCAATGCAGCAGTGAAAGGTTTGCCATAGCTGACGAGGGGAGCAACAGTAGCGATGGAGATGACGTAGCTGCAGCAACTAGAAATATATAGTGGAGCTTCTGAAACAAATCTAGGAAGATTCTCAGAAAAGCTTCACGTAAAAAACAAACTTCAGGGAAAGATGAATATGTCACTGATCAGGTCAGACAGTGAATATCCAGGATGAAGATCCATAATGCAGGCGTCAGGCTGAAAACATGTTTGAGATGACTGTTGTAAAATCAGTTTTTTTGGAAAGCTGCAGGGAGCTCACGCTTTTTTGTCTGATTTTAAGTCACTTTGGACAGTTTTCTGCTCATGTTGAACAAGCGACCATCAAACAGAAATTACTTGTGGCTGTCCTCATTATATTTAGCTGATAGGTTTCCACAAAGTCAAAGAAAGACATGGAAACAAACCAGCTGATGAATATGTTAGTGATTAGGTCAGACAGCAAGTGTCCTAGATGTAGATCCATAATGCAGTCAGCTAACTGGTTAATACATGTGTCTCCTTCTAGTCAGATTGAAAACAAAAAAGTTCTAAATCAGATTTTTTCCATTTACATTGTTGGTGTCCTTGTCTCCCTAAATCTGTACAACAGAGGAAATGCAAAGTTAGCATGACAAGTAGAGACACAGCGGACATTTTTTTGAAACACAGCAGACTGAAATAAGCTTTATTTGAACCATCTCCTGTTAAAACGAGTCTTTGCTAATCCTCAATCAGGCCTCTGCTCTAATCAGCACCAATGACAATAAGGATCCTGTGTTATGTCATGTATCAGGTCAAATATCTTCAGACGTGTGTCTGCTGCTGATGCTGCTTCAGTCGCTGGTGTTTTCCCTGCTGCCTGCCTCCGCACAGGAAGTGACATCATATGATGTGGGCAGGCAGGTAACCATGACAACAGCCCTACTGCTGCTGCTAATGATGACATGTTTGTGCTCCTCTCAAAGTGTAAATCTCTGTCGTCTGTTGCTCCTCCGAGCCCTGTCACTACGGCGACCGGGCAACTCACTCACTCACACACACACACACACACACACACACACACACACACACACACGATACATTGAGATGCTGCCATGACTACATCCAGAAACACAATGGATGCTGTCAGGAGGCAGGTGTGTGCTTGTGCGTGCAGATTGATTAACGAGCTGCTGATTGGTCAGCGGTCTGAGTCTTGCGGTGAAGATAAGGAGGTGATGACGTCAGTCTGCTCTGACAGAGAAACACCAGCCGCTCACACACTGTTCCTACCTGTACTGCATGTACAGGTGCAGCGTGGCATGCTGGGAAACTCCCTGAGGCCTGCGCTTCAGTTTTTTAAAATTAATTTCATTTCATCACGTTGTCTGTGAAAACACTCAGAGAGGACGAGGCTGTCAGCACATGCAGATTTAAATGTCACTGAGCTGCAGCTGCACACACTCAATGTCTGTTATTACAGACAGTGAACTAACCACAGATGCTCCGAGGTTCAGCCGTTCACACATGTGGTGATAATTAAGGCTTAATGAACTGGCCTACAATGTATTGTAGAGTTTGTGAAAGAGTTAAAAAAAAATTATTAAACCAGCAAAACCAACCCTCAACATCCAATTTAGTTTAAGCAATAAATAAAACAATGACCTCATGTTTTCTTATATCATTTTTCAGAATTTTCTACAATCCAATTATTCATCCATTAGTTAATCCTCAAAATCTCATCACTGGTGTAGAGTTACTTCATGTTTCAAGAGAAATGTCATGTAACGTTTAGGTTGAGTTTCATATGGAGATAAATAAATTTAAAAAAATGATAAATGGATAAAGATGCAAAATCTTACAATCATTTCTTATCAGTATTGGTAAAATCAGTCAAATCGATCAAATCAAAATCATAAATCTGATAAAATAATCAGATTTAATATGCTCTAAGTGGCATGTGAACATGTAAAAATAATGCATCTTACCGACCTCTTCTGAATGAAAAAGTTCTTTGTGGAGCACACCTCAGTCAATGATCCAGTCTGTCCTCCTCAGCCTACAGGTCACTGATCCCCAGCAGCAGATAGACTCCAGCTCCCAGAATGCCAGAGCAGAGTAACGACTACCGGGTGGTGGTGTTCGGTGCCGGCGGCGTGGGGAAGAGCTCGCTGGTGCTTCGGTTTGTGAAAGGCACCTTCAGAGACACCTACATCCCCACAGTGGAGGACACCTACAGACAGGTGGGACGCCAGAGAATCCATACAGCTGATCAGACTGTGTTCGCTGTTACACACTGCATATACATTTTTCCTACATTTCTCTTCTACTTAACAGCTCTGTGCAACAATCATCCATCCATTATCTATACACCAACTGGGGTCGCGGGGGGGGGGCTGGAGCCTAACCCAGCCGACTTGTCTATCACAGGGCTACAGTTAGAGACAGACAACCAAGCACACTCACATTCACACCTACAGACAATTTAGAATCACCAATTACCCTCAACATGTTTTTGGACCTTGTGGGAGGAAGCCGGAGAACCCGGAGAGAACCCACGCTGCACGGGGAGAACATGCAAACTCCACACAGAAAGATTCTGGTGCTCCCACCAGGACGCGAACCGGCGAGGCAACAGTGCTACCAACTGTGCCACCCTGCAGCCCTCTATACAATAATAATTCTCAATAATATAATTAGCTAACATGACCGAAAGTCATTTAGGGATTACTGATCAGTCCTGCAGTGCACAGATAGACTCCTCAACCTGATTCTGTTAGTGCCAAAGTCTGTTGTTTGAAAGTCACAGAGTTTAGTCAGGAGACAAAGACACAAAACCAGACCAGGAGACACAAAATGACAAAGACGTGATACAAAGCAACCATAGAACAATCATAAAGAGACACAAAATGACCACAGAGGGACACTAAACAAGCACAAAGAGACAAAAATGACACCAAAGAGAAACAAAATCACCACAAAGAGACAAAAACAACTGAAAAGACATACAACACAACCACAGAAACATGCTAAATGACCTCAAAGAAATACAAAACAGCCACAAAGACACAAACAAACGACCACAAAGAGGCACAAAAATTGCTGAAAGCTAAACAAAACATCCACAGAGACACACAAACGTTTGGTGAATCAAAAAAAGAAATAATTTATTAATGTTTTTAATGTTTCTGTCCACAGCAGTGACAATAAACATTCAGACGTCCGTAATGTATAAATATATCTGACGTGTTAAAACCTTCCAAGTCTTTATGTGGCTCCTGAACCTCAGCCTGCTGTTCAGACCCGGTTAATGCCTGACAGTCATGGATCAGCGCCTGTCGTCCCTGCAGGTGATCAGCTGTGATAAGAGCGTCTGCACGCTGCAGATCACAGACACAACAGGAAGCCACCAGTTCCCCGCCATGCAGCGCCTCTCCATCTCCAAAGGCCACGCCTTCATCCTGGTCTACTCCATCACCAGCCGCCAGTCTCTGGAGGAGCTCAAACCCATCTACCAACAGGTCAGAGCATGTTGACTTTTACCGCGACCAGCTGACAGTTTAAAGGCTGATTCAGCATCGTATTAATGCTGCGTCATGTTTTCATCATGTTGGGTTTTGGGGATCAGAGGATTAATGGTCTGACTATCTCGATCTGTTTAAGCCATTAATTATGGTTCTGAGATATTTACAGGGGAGGTTGTTCAGTGTTAAGACCCAAGTTTATCTGATTTTCACATCAGTATTTCTTTCTGCCACTGGGGGCTCCACAGAGCACACCTGCAGGACTAGAGGAGTTTTAAATGATGGACAGGATCATCAGCCTTATCATGACATGTTGTTGATTTTACGTGACTCACAGTCCTGACTGGCGTGACCTTCTGTCCCTGCAGGTTCTGGCCATCAAAGGCACCGTGGAGTCCATTCCCATCATGCTCGTGGGCAACAAGAGCGACGAGATGGCCCAGCGCGAGGTGGAGACGAAGGAGGGCGAGGCCCAGGCCACCTCCTGGAAGTGTGCCTTCATGGAGACGTCGGCCAAGACGAACTCCAACGTGAAGGAGCTGTTCCAGGAGCTGCTGGCCCTGGAGAAGAAGAGGGACATGAGTCTGAGCATCGACGGGAAGCGTTCAGGGAAACAGAAACGAGCCGACAAGCTGAAGGGAAAGTGCAGCATCATGTAGAGCGACGGCGGCTGAAGAGGACTCGCCGAAGAGGAAACGCCAGAGGAAGCAGCACTTCTTCTTCTTTGGTGCCTGTCCACCGTCTGTGTGAACACTGGAGCCCAGACGAACAAAAGAACGACTGGAATATTTATAGCAGGGCCTCAGGAGGCTCCTGGCCTGAACTGGAATGTGTTTGTCATGCAAAAATGTTCATAAAAACATTTAGACACTCAGCTAACTGCTGCCACCATTAACACTCACTCTGACCTTTTAATAAAGGAATACTTCACTGATTTTGCTCTGAATGTTGGACCAAAAATTAGATCAAGTGCAGCTGGGGTTTATTGCAACAGATTTTTTGGCTAAACATAATCAATTACTATGATTACAGCCCATGTGTCTGGTTTGTTCTCTGACCCATAATGGAAGAGGAGAGCCAGAGCTTTTTCTGTGCAAAAGAATTTTATGGCCCCCAACAGGAAAATCAGCAACACCAAAAATGATAAGAATTGGGAATCATTTTTTATTTTTTTTAGCCAGTTTTGTTAGTTGAGCTTTCATTTGCACACATCACAGGCATCTTTGTTTGTTAAATGATCAGAAATAATAGGAAATGCAGCGATTTCTGTCAAATCAGGTAACGCATATTCGTTGCCTCTATTTTAAGCAGACCAATCAAGATTAATGTCGCCCTGCAAAAACCCATTCTGAACCTGGAAGCACCTTTTAAATATCTGTGATCACATCCTGTGATTGCTTCAGGAGCTTTCTCCCCTTGTTTATTAATTCATTCATTAAAGTCGTGCAGATAAAAAGCAGTGAAGTATTTCTTTATCTGATGAGACTAACAGCGTCATGATTCCCTCCTCGGCGGTCCTGGCTGTAATCTACGGGATGTTTTCAGCTCGGAGGCGACTCGGCTTCCTGCTGTCATTAGACGAACGCCTACAAATGTTCTAGCAGCCTCCGCGTGAACGCACTCTGATGACCCGAAGGCCTGCAGGGGAAACAGCAGACACTCACGTTTACACAGCTGGAAACTTTAAAAAGTAAAGTTTTCATGGATACTGGACTAATTATCTGTTTGCATCAACACGCAGCTCCAGGGAAGCATGCAGCTGCGAGAAATGTACATATATGATTTAAAGGAACAGTCCAGCATGTCGGTAACGCTGTCAGCCGTCGACAGTTTCATCTCTGTGTGTCCACTACAACGGTAGAGCTCAGCACAAAGACTGGAAGCAGAGGGAAACTGTTAGCCTCGCTCCATCACATGAACTTAAAAGTTAAAGGGTGACAGAAGACATTTAATGGCTGTTTAAAATATTTCTTGTGGTTTCTGTAATTTATCTAATTTTAAACTTGACATCTGGTCAATATACTCCATCATCCATTGTGTCTTTTCTGGATCAACACATTTGTCTGTAAAATTTAAGCAAATGGCGAAAAATCATTGTTTCCTGAAGCCCAAAATGACAAAATGAAATCGGACAATTTTCAGCTTAGATTTCCCCAAACAGAAGATTTGTTCAAGGACCATTGGAAAGTCAGAAATGTGACAAGTCTCTCTGATTTTACGCTTTCTGAGAGATAAGTGGTGTCATTTAGGTAATACTTTAGAAGATAACATGCCTTTCAAACCAAAGAGGGTTAATGAGATTACAGGGTGCAGCTCCCCTGACATGCAGGCCTAAAGGTCAGGATAAAAACCACTGACAAGAGTAGATGATGGTACAATCTCCTCCTGAATGATCCTTACAGACAGAAGTCTAGTCTAAATGGAGCTACAACATTATACTCTCAGATGAAGCTCTGCATGCAGCTAGCACTGACAACCGTTCCTGTGTTTATGTTAGACTTCCACATTTTCCTGACACAATAGACATATTAGTAAGAAATGCAAACGTGGAAATACACAGAAGACTCCGTGGACTTTTCTCTGCACTGATATTCATCTTGTCATCACAACAAGCTAAATGTTGGACTGTTCCTTTAACTAACAGGAAAACTGCCCGAGCTGTTGTTGTGCATCTGAAATGCCTTTCCTACGTTTTACTTGACAGTTTTGTAAATGATCTGATTGTAAGTGAGCTTAAAACTTTAAAAAGCACAAACACATGTTAACCCTCCTCAGACGGACTCGTGTTGTTTACATGTCAGTGTGTCCACGCTGATCACACGTGTGTGTTGCACTTTTGGAAGAAGCCGTGTGTTTTATTTCTCTGTAAAAAAAAAAGCTCTTTATTACTTTTCCTTCTGTCAGCTTCCCTCCAGCTTTAGCAATATTAAAAAATGGCTGCTCTTTGTATGCAGAAACTGTCTCAGAAATCACTCTCAGTGCTTTCATTCATTCATTTTATTTGAATTTATTGTTTCAGCTTGACAGTGCAAGAAATGAAATGTTATATTTACTTAATTTATTATCTCTAATCAAATCCCATCACACACTTGTTTTCAACAAGACTGGATCCCACAAGCTTTTTCATCAACATAAAATAATGTTATTTCACTTTAGCTGACTTTTGTAGCATTAATAACTGTTTTAGGTCTAAAATGTGCCATCAAACAAACATGACATCGAATATTTTAGCTAAAAACCCTTCAAGACGTTTTAATTTCACTGTGACTCATTAATGAAATTGATTGAAATGAAATCAAGGAGGCAAACAATGTGTACAAAAAAAGGTCAACTATTTGGCAAGTTACATTTCTGGGGGTTTTTTTCAGCCTGCTGTATTTCCCATATGTGTCTCTACTGGTTGTGCTAATTTTGCACCTCCGTTGTATAGATTCAAGTCACTGATGTCAAGACAACATACATCAGGGCAAAAAGCACAAAGTTACTTGCATACACATTTTAAAAAATATATATATTTAATGCCAAATTACTGGAGCTGCTTTGTTAAATCGCTGCAGCTAATTTCTGCAAAGACACTTCAAATACACAAGTTGCGTATTTTTAAACAGCTTTAAAAAACTGTTTAAAGTGGTCAATGCCAAAACTGTCTACTATTGTGT